CAGAGTCCGACAGAGCCGTCGACGACCCAGAGTCCGACAGAACCGTCAACGACCCAGAGTCCGACAGAATCGTCAACGACCCAGAGTCCGACAGAACCGTCAACGACCCAGAGTCCGACAGAACCGTCGACGACGCAGAGCCCGACAGAACCGTCGACGCCCAGCACCACGACTGACGATGCAGGGAGTCTTCGCGCTACTGTATTGGCAGTGCTGACGCTTGTATTGGCAGTCCGAATGCTCTAGCAAGGCGGTCAGCGTTGAAGAAGAGAAATGTAAAAAAAAATGTGTGTATGAGATTTCAGCTATTTCATCTTGAATGAAGAAGGAAAAACTAACATACAACTCACTGAAATTAATTATCGTGGAATTATTGTATGAGAACTTCATTATTTCACATGCTTGTTTGTGAAGGAAAATGTTAATAAACTATAACTTAAACTTTGAACCGTTAATTTTATATTTTTAAGCATTTTCATTCTTTTATGAGTTCGTAAATATGTTGTCATATAGCACCACCCTTTTTTACCCTTAACGGAATAGAATTATATTATGTTTGTTTATTTAAAATAAGTAATGTATAATAGTTAGTATTCATAGTTACTTAGTTGTTTTCACTGATATGTTAATACATTTTTGTTATACTAATCACAATTCTTCCTCCCCTAACCCGTTCCTACGTCTATCCTTAGTTCAGAGTGACGAGCTCACCTGCCCGACACACCACTGGTCTAGAGAATTTCAGACAAGAGTCAAAGCCTTAAAACAGGGTACTCACTGTGAAATGCACCTATATTACTAATTTTCAATGCGGAAATCGACAGGAAATACGCTGGCTAGCCAAGTGATATGTAACTTTGTTATATGCCTCAAAACTCGAGAAAATCGAAAAACAATGAAAAATAACGCTTTTGACTGAAACTTGTAAATATTTTAATGTGTTATCACACCTATTCTCTTACTGCGCGCACCAGCTGAGTTCTCCCACAATGTTCGTCGTTGCTGACGGCTGACGTCACGCGACAAGATGCCGAGACAGAGGCCACCCGCTATTCTGTATTTTTATTCCTCTGCTGCGTTATGGGACAGCAACTTCTGAATGTTTTGATACACTGAAATATGATACACCAAATACTTTGATACCAAACCATTTACACCAAATTTTTGATAAATTTCTCCTAAAAGTCATAATGTTGAAATATGAAACGTTTCATGTTACACTTCATTGTAGTATACAAATATAATTATGCTAATTAGGAGAAATAAAATACGAAATTGCAATCTTGTAAAGATTGATAATGCTTGATCAGAATATAAGTGATGAATGAGAGGGAAATAAAAAATGGATATCAGAATATTTATGAAATTTTATTGATCTGCCAGATAATTACTCCGGTCTTACAATAACACTTTTCATACCAACATTCATCAGGGAAAACTAAGATTGTCAAAGGTGAAAATTAATGTTCAAGAATAATACTAATATAGAAATACATTTACCGTACATTCTGATAATAATTACAAATATTTCAATAATTTTCCCATTTTCAAGAAATTTAATGATTCCAGAAAATGTTAGCAGTATTTATTTTACTTATACTGGTGTATTTTAGCGCAGCTTTCTGGCCAGACCTAACAAGAAATCTTTGTTCTCATTATGTAGTACATCCACACTTTTCAGCCATGACTGAACAATATCAAAACGTTTCAATACTTTTCTGGAGTCATTAACCACAAACACAGGTCATTCAAAATTAAAAGAAAGTTGGAACATTCATCAACGGTAGACAAACTTGAATTGTGTTGACCTCCCTTTCAATCATTAATTTTTTTCATTGCCACACGAATAAATACATGAAACATTTATATTTGTGAACTAAAGATGCTACAACAGCACATATATTTTTGCATTATTTAGAACAGTTATGTAATATTATAATACAGCAATTTCTATCATCACGTGAAAAAATTCATACAAATTCAAACGCAGTGCCTTCGTTGGATATTACTTCGATAGTCAGGAATAGTAACACTTTCTTACTGCTTTAAAAGAAACAAACATGAATAAATATAAACCGTTATAATATTTGCAGCACACCGATAAACAAATAAATATAATTTCACCAATAAATTAAACAGTACTCGCCTGACCGCTGTGGTGTGCGGATCGTGCCCGCAGCTCCGTAGTGTCTTACCTTGCTCGCCCGCGAAGGCGCCAAGTTATGGAAAAGTCTAGCGATAATAACCAGTGCGCACTAACTCTAAGTGAACAGTTAGAGTTGTAAAGCATGACGGTGTTTCATTATCTTCATATTTAAATCAACCTAACAAAAGACAACCTATACTAAACCTCAGCCGATTACCGAAGTAATTTCAGTTAGGATCAGTAGCATGTAGTGCGATTGCATGCTACTGACACCCGGAAAGCTGTTTACTTCAAGAAA